TTTAGAAATAATTTATTACTCCCAGAGTCACCTGTTAGCTAGTAGGAAGAAAGCGAGCTAAAATACTAGGAAACGCAACATAACATTGGGCTCCCTTTTGGGGAAATAGACAGGATTTCTGAATGCTGCATTAGTGATTAATCTGATTGACAAGATGTGATCTTAGGATCAATTGCCATGGATACAACTTAAAAATTCATTGTGATTTGGCCCCAAACTTTACAAAATAATATGCAATTTCAGGAATTTCTTTCACTAGTGATGACAGTAAGAGAGGGACCACATTTTGCTTAAACTATTTTATGTCTAGGGTGAGGATCTTTTTCAACATCACTAAATATTTGGACTCTCTTCCCTTTTGTCACCCACTAAAATTGGACTACTAAAGGAACATTTAACTGGTGTGACTATTTCTTTGTTAATAATTATTGGCAAGGGTTATGTTGGATGTTAAAAAAACTAACTACATTGGCTATCTAGACACACTTTTTCCAGCTTTGAAACATTTGTACATTTAGAGGAATGAGAAAAATTTAACCAAGGAACTCTTAAACCCAAGGTGAAACTCTTGTTTGGGCCTAGCGTTCAATGATTCTGCTCACAGCTTCTAAGCTGGAGTAAATACACAACCAAGAGTGAGTGGTTGAATTATGGGATGACAGACAGTACGAATAGAACTTGAGTGTGTTCTCACCAAGTTACTAAGATGGAATTATGGGTCGAGAATTCAAAAGAAAATACAGAGTCCTTTTACTTTATTCAAAAAAGTACAGATTCAGGCTCCATATCTTTATCTTATAGAGCTTCCTGAACGCCATTATTCCCAGCTCATCATTTCAGTCATTCCACTCAAATCTTATTTGTTTCACCTTCCCATTAATTACTTTTCCCTGCCACACTCTGTCTACATTTTAGGAAGTGGGCCAGGGCTCATCTCTCAACTCTTCTTAATATCCACTCCCTGTGTGTGTGTGTGTGTGTGTGTGTGTGTGTGTGTGTGTGTGTGTGTAAGTTCCTGGTCTTGGGTAGTTCTGTTACTTGTGTGACTTTTCTCCCAAACTGGTGTTTCCTATCACCAGGCTTCCTGGGATGGCACCTTCTTTCCTTGAGGTGGATGAAAGGCACTGGCTTTCCCATCAAACTAATGCTAGAGAAAAATGGACAATGCCCACCACTTCTTAAGACTGGAGGTTGGCAAGATGGAGTGACTATCTGCTATGTCCTTCTTCTTTCCTCCCCGCTCCTTTTCCCCTTGTTTGGATCACAGAGCAAAAATTCTAGATAAATTTTCACAATTCCAGACCTTGGGAGAGATCTCTGTGGTTTTGGGTCTTCAGTAGTTTCACTTTGTCTTAGAAAATTCCTTCAAATGCAGTTTCCCACTATCAAACTGATAGTTAGCAATTTGTGAATTCCAAGACACATTCACTTCCCCAGATTTTTCTTAAGTGTACTGATTGGTGTCATCTGTACTCAGTCTGCCTTCCAACTCCTTACCATCTCACGAACTTCCCAGGCCATCCGTTATGCCCGCCTTAATGTTAGGCACGCCACCACATTCTCTTTGCCTCATGTTTTCCCTTAGACTAGGCTCCTGCTTCCCAGGGTGAATTAGAGTGTGTAGGACATACAGAAGACGAATTGCTCCAATTTCCAATTCTAGGTTTGCGGACTTAAGAGGAGGCAGTTTGACTCCAAAAGCTAATTGCTGGTTTCCTTGAACCACTTTTTCTGTTTTCTTCAGGGGTATTAAAAGGCTCAGTTAAATGATTTCCAGAAAACATGTAGCAGGCTCATAAGGCCTCTGGAGACCTAAAGTCCTTTCCACTCAAAAATCTTAAACACCGAATTTGTGTGTAGCGGTTGTTCAACTGAAGGAATAAATGTCTATTAAACTAAGAAAAGTGTACTGTTTGGCTAGTCTCGGATGTGCTCATAGGAAACATATAGAAAGAGAAGATAATATGTGTTATGGTTTTCTGCAGATAGCTGATGCCAAACCCCGCAGAACCACAGAGTCGGGCCTGCTAAGGCAGTTTAAATGTGTCTCACATGTGTCGTGTGTGTTGTAAAAGGCAGTGTGTGTGTTATGTGCATGCATATGTTTATGTGTGTGCATGTGTTATAGGTGTGTTGAGTATACATGCATTATGTGTGTGTGCACGTGTGTGTATGTGTTACACAGAACTGATGCATCATTACAAGTTTTGACCAGTCATCCATGGTCCTGGGAGACATCATGGGACCTGCCTTGGTGACTCTAGACAGGGGCAAAGGAAATTTTGGCAGGAAATTCATTTGAAGAATAAAGATCTGAAAGTCTGAGCCAAACATGTTCAAGGTTCACCCTGGAAATTAAAACATTGTTTTGCCAAAGAGAATCATGGGTTTTTTCCCAAGGAGGAGCCTTGAATGGATAATGGGAATGGGCCAAGTCTTTGCCATTTTGTAGGAATTAAACAAAGCATGTTATAGATCTCAGTGAACAAAGTCTTCAAACTTCACATCAGATGCTACAAAGCGGGACTAATTTTGCTCATCTCAATAGAAGGCTTCCCTTGTCAGGTCTGGGCAGAGTGTTATGTAATTGGCACTGTTGAGCAGCCAGTGCCTCCTTTGTGCTTCAGGGGAAGCCAAGCACTGGTTCCCCCAGCCTTACCCTTAGGAAAACCCAGGTGCATTCCATGGTGCCTAAAGTGATACCAGAGAAAGCATAACCGACATGTATAAACAGTCATTTATGCTCCAGCTTCCTCCATCAACATGCACTGTACCTAGCTTATGGCCAGGAGTCAAGAGAACTGGGCTTCTATGTGTACATCTTTGTCCAAGACACCCCTGTCCTTAAATGTAACCTTATGTCCATTGCCATGATTTCCTATTTGCCCACCACAAATATTATCAAGACGAACGAGACATATTCTCTCTGTTTGTTGGTGACTCAGCTGCTGTGTGTGCATGCATGCCTAGTGTAGACATCTCAGAATAGGGCTTACCTGGGATCAGTCTTTCCAGGGATGTGGTATGCGGCTGCCACACAGCATATGCCTGTATCACTGGGAAACAGGCTGCTCTGCCCCTGGTTCTTTAACAGGGCCCACTTCCTTATGTTGGCTTTGCTGAATGAGGCACACCCTCCCATCCCCCCCAGCCCCCCACGCCACAGTGTGTATGTGTGTGGGGTGTGGTTACTGTAATTTTAAGGCTATATATACTTCGTTGCAGCAGTGAGGATGTGGTAGCAACCTGGTGTTCCTTCTGCTATCAAGAGCACAGCACAGTGGTCCTTTCTGCAGCCCTGTCCTGGAGAGTGTGTTTAGCTGGTGCTGGAACATAAAGTGGACAATGAAAATATTTTTGCTGAATAAATAAATGAATGAATGAGGAATAAATGAATGGAAGCAGGCACTTGGCTGGGCATGAAGAGACCAATATTTGGAAGCAGTTTGGCCTACTTAGAGAAAAGATGGTTGAGAAATTATTGATTGCCCATTAGCCAAAATGAGGACACCAGGATCACACACCCAATGAGGTCTTTATTATTTTAGGACAGTGGTGCTTCACCCTTTTTGGGTCACAGACCTCTTTTGGAATCTGATGACAACTATGAACTCTCTCTTTAGGAAAATGCACATATTGAACATATACACACATTTTTGTATATAATTTAATTTTAGGGAGTTTGGAGTCCCACCCACCCACCAACTCATTCGTGGCCCCCAGGTTGAGACCCTATAATTTAGATATATAGGATTTGGCAGTAAAGTGGCAGAATAGAGAAAGGACTGAGGCTAGGAACTAGGAGACTTCAATTAGAGTTCTGTTTCTGCGTCTAACTACCTCTGTGCATGGAATTTCACTTCCCCAGGTTTCCGTTTTCTTACGTGAAAAACGTGGGGGTAGGCTCAGCTCTATCCAAAGATTCATCTGGTGTCAGCATCCTGGAAGGAGAAGAGGCTGGCACATTTCACAGGAACAGCATTCCTTCCACCAAGGTTCCTCTGTGGGTTGCCTCCTTGGTAGTCATTGTTTGTAATTTGAAAAGAAGCTTTCTTTCCCCACTAGGTAGGCTCCTCAGAACTCTTGGGGTGCTAATTTTAATCTAACTTGAAAATCTGCACAGAGGCCAAAGCTGTCTGGTCACCTCACTACCTCCTCCTTGCATGGCGCACTCATAGATTTCAAAGAGGAAGACTTCAAACAGATCACCTGGGCAGAATGGGGGCAGGTGAGAGCAGGCTTGGGAGGACATCCTGACACTACCTATTCAGGTGAACGGATTTTAGCTCATTCACTTTCCTCTCTGCTTTCTCCTGGACTGGCTTGATGCAGAAATAAACAGTCTTAACCACCACGGGGAGGAACTCTGCAATGTGCTGGCTGAAGCCATTCTCAATTCTTTGCCAGAGATTCCAGTAGAACTAATTCAATACTTTCCATCCCATTGCAGCTTTCCTATGCTTTTCAAAAATAGGAACTTTGTTTTCAAATACCTGATGCTTTTTATGTAGCACAAACTTAAAAGCAAATTGTCCCAAAGGAATGTTCAAATGTCTTCAGACAAGCCAGGCATAGTAATTAAATAGTAAGTGCTCTCCCCTCCACTCCCCTCTTCCATCCCCAAGGGTCTGTATCCCATTCTTTCAAGGATTACAATCCAACTCCAACATCCAGGGCTCGTGCCCCCTTTATAATCGCCCTACTAAGTGATGATCTAGCCAAATTTTGAATGTGCTAAAATGGCCAGGACAACATTTCATCTTTATATAGTCCTAATCCTGGGCCCAAGTCTGCAAAAATTGACTTCTCTGAGCCCTAGTAGGCATATTACAAATAATAATAATGTCTTGAGTTCCTTTTCTATGCCAGGCCTTGCTACCAGTGCTTTCGAAATATCATCTCACAGGGCCAGCCAAGTGGCTCAGTTGGTTAAGAGCTTGCTCACGAGTTTGAGCTCTGAGCAACAGCGGTTCGATTCCCAGCCTGAGCTGAGCTGCCACTGAGCTACCAACAGGTGGCAGGATGGCTCAGCTAACAACAAAAAAACTCATCTCACTTAATCCTTATCTGCAGCGTCACTCAAGTGTAGGCTCTCCAAGGGCAGGTGCTTTTTATTTTATTTGTTCACTGCTGTCCCCAGACGCTAGAACAGTCTCTGGGTGATATTAGGCACTCAGTAAGTATTTGCTGAATTTAAAGATGATTACTATCATTATCCCCATTTTACAGATGAGAAAACGTAGATTCATAGAGGTCAAACACTACCACAAGCTGCAGGGCTACTTTAATAGGATCCAAAGGAATAAAACCATTATGAGGAGGATACCGTTTGTGTCCAATAGTCTCTGCCTCATTCCACACCCCCAAGGCGGCTGCCCAACCGACCCAACCCATTCTTGAGATAGATGCAGCCAAGCTCCACTGCTGGGGCTGAAGGAAAGTGGTGTTATCCTAGAATTCCGCTCAGAACTGGGTGGTGGTTAGTTAAAATAAGAGAGTTAGCAAGGGCCTCGTTTAGAGCAGTATATTGCATAAATAGTTGTAGCTATGGAGGATGGCATTGGATTCTCTCACTTTTGACTGAAAATTGAAGGGGTAACAATGGTGGGAAGGGTGGGAGCAAAGGAAGCAAACACAAACACACACCAAAAAACCAAACCATAGCAAAACAAAAGCCAAATCACCAAAGCAAACCAAAACTTATGAGCTGGAACAATGGAGTGGGAGTTTCATGAGGGTTTGTCTCATTTCTTTATTTATTTTTTGTGTGTGGAACAAATGTACTTACTGCTTTTAGCTTGAGGAGCCCTTCTGCTGCTTGTTGGACCATTACTGTAGGACTAAACAATAATGCCCCATTTCAAGCATCATTTTCTTACTTGTGAATTTGTATCTTCTGCTGAGTTTCACTCAATGAGAGACAGTCACCCTTACCCCGACTTTTCTTTTTTTTCCTTATGAATGGTCAAGAAAGCCCAAGTATTACAGTTTTTGCTTTTTTTAAGTTGATGAGGAGAAATGTTTTTGATGAATGGCATGTTTTCTTTGGTAAACAAAGAACAAACACCAACTCAAAACCAACCAAGTAAGTTTCTTTGGTAAAGTGAACATTAATGTCTTGGTTGGAGTTAACTGAAAAATAAAAATTTTGCAAGTGTTTGCTAGGGTCATTCCTTCCCTCTGTGTAGCAATTGAAAAAGTAAAACTTCATGAAGTAAAGACAGATTTTATAGGGATGTGATTCTGAGTTACTTCTAAAGTGTCTTCTCCATGGTGTGGCTAAACGGGCTAAACCAATGCTGTCAGTGCAATAATCAGTAATCTGTATTAACAAATAAATAATAATGATCTAACAATAAATAATAAGTAATAAATCTTGGCATGCAGAGTCCCCCAGTAAAAAAAAAAATTCATTCCACAGTCAGAATTCCATAAGCCTTGATTTCAAGTGTTGAAAAGAGAAGTTGACAAGGTTGAAAATGCCCTTCATTTAAAAATACAATATTCCAAGGAATACAGAGACTCAATCAAGTTGGAAAACTACTATCTCTCATAAAACAAAGTTCCACAGTAAGTCATTCCGGTTGACCAAATTGAATGATTAAATTCTCAACAAAATCCATTTAATTGGTACTTGTGTTGTATCAGTTTTGTGGAGTCACTGAAACCACATGGCCAACACTAAATCAATGGCTGATTTAGAACACACTGTTCAGAAAATGATTTAGCAACATATGATTTAAGAATAAAACCAATCCTCTCTTCAGCTGTGTTTTATAAATAGTAGCCTAGTCGCAGGCCCCTTGGAGAGAGAATTGATTGCAGATCTATTATGTGAACTTGCCCTTTTTCGAGGACTGTACTTGCCCTCAGATTAAAGCTCATTATCTTCTAGTTGAGTGCATAACACGTTGGTATGATCACTTAGTGTGTCTGCAGGAGAGTTTGAACAAGTGTATAATGCACTAGCTATGATCCCCTGCACATGTATTTAGAACTGTGTGAACAACAGTACATGAAAGAGAAAGCACAGTTTTGCACTTGGTGTGGTTACATCTGAATCATTTGGGCATATTTACTGTTTGGAAAGACAATGGCAAACCTAAATCCCAAACAGTTACTCAGACATTAAAAAAAAAAGTCTGCTTTGTGGCCAATAAAGTCCTATGTTCCTTCCTTGGAAATGTACTTTGAAGGGAGTAATAGCCCTCTTATGAGAAAGTCTCAAATTGGCCTGCCCTGTCTTAGGCATGCTAAAATGGCGGAAACCTTCCAGTGGTGGGACCCTGTGTGAGTCGCTTTATTCTCCTAGGTCTCAGTTTCCTCCTCGGCAGAGGATGGGAAAGTTGCTCAGTGCGTCCGCTAAGGTCCAGAAAGGTAAGGTGCTTTTGGGAAATGCTTACCACTACAGATGTCTAAATAAGCTGCATCTCTAAAAGGGAAAAGTGCTCAAATGTGACCAGCTTGTAGCTTCATTTTTATAGCCTTCAAGAAATGCAGGGGTCTGGGATATTATACGTAGCCTCTTCAGATCCAACCATTTCTGTTTACATCCTGCAGATTCTGCAAGTCAACTGTATAAATATCAAGGCTCATTGACGTGCAGAAGGGCCGTGCAGTGAAGTAGAGGGGCACTCACAAAGGTGTGTGTGTGTGTGTGTGTGTGTGTGTGTGTGTGTGTGTGTGTGTGTGTGTGTGTGGTGGTGGTGGGGGGGGGTTGGTGCAGGAAGATGAGTCCAGTCAGCTTAGCAGGAAAGTTTGACTGTCATCATTGATTTGTATTGGTGATTCCATCTTCCAGTCATTCCATCTATCACCCTTTCTGCCTTTTATCCCCCTGCCTGCCCTTTTACAAAGTTTCTCAGTTTCAGGACTTGTGCCCACCCAAGAACTTTCTTTTCTCCTCTGTGTCTCTGAGCAGGCATGTCTGGCGAAGGCAGACTGGCACTACAAGTTGGAAGCTACGGCAAATAACCAGTTCAGTGTCCTTTTCTCTTCCCTCAGCTAGGCATGGGCAGATTTTCTTTCTGGGCATCCATGCAAAAAATGCATTTAGGGCCAAACCACAAACCGCTGTACCAGCTGGCTATTTTTTTTGTTAAAATGGAAACACTGTCTCTGGGTTCAAGTAGACACCTGCTTTTCCTCCATCGTGCCAGGTATTTGGGTTTAGCTCTGTGGATTTCGGTACTCAGAGCCTCCTGCCAAGAGCTGTAACTAATAAAGCAGATCCATTTGGTGACAAGCAGTAAGATACTCCAAAATAGCATTGCCCAACTCTGCAAATCTGGAGCTGTCATTGGTTTAAAGGTATATTAACCCAACTGTACAAATGTGAAAACTGTATTGATGAGGGGATATGATAAACTTATTCTAGACAGCAAAAACTGCCTTACCTGGGTGAATTTAGGGGTGACTTAGTTTTAGTCCAGGGGTGATGGCCACTCCACCATGTGTCTGCTTCTGAGGTTCTGGCTTGCTTTTACTGGCCAGAACTTTCACAAGCCTCTCCTTGGGGTGTTGGGGAGCTAGATGAGATGGTTGAAACCTCAAACTGTACATAGACCCTGCCTGGAGCTACTGCTCTGCAGAAGTTCTGGAAGCCTTACTGTCTGAACAATGCTTAAAGCTATTTCTGCCTTGGCAGCTGACCTTTCAATCAGTAGGTTTTTATCACAATACCAGCAACATCTGCAGTGTGGATAAAATAGGATTCTGCTTGCTAATAAGCTTTCTTCTATTTGATCTTAGTTTAAGAGACTATACATCTCTGTGTGTGTGTGTGTGTGAATTCTTTCTGATTACCTTTTGTTTTAAAGATGATTGAAAATATGCAATGCCCATTCCCGCCCTTATCCTTTACTTTTTTTTTTTTTGGCAATGCCTGTTCCTTATCCTTAAAAGAGAAAGGAAAACTTTAAATTTGTCTCATGAACATAATCTCTTTGCTTTTTATAAGACCTAGGGTGAAAATATAACCAACAGACGCTATCACACTGTTGTAATTTGGTCAACCACTCGGGTACTGTCAATATCCACCATTTCTACACACTCAATTTCCTCCCGGTTTTCGGGATTTTTCTTCTCTTTCCTTTTTTTCTTAGAGGGTGGCAGGAAAGTCAGTATCACAGGTAAAATGGCAAAGCAGTGAAAGAAGGTGACAAATGCTATTAAAAACAAGCACCTGAACAGTGTACAGGTCAGATTTGAAGGCACAGCTGCGAGAGGAATCAGACCAACAGTGTAGCAGAGGTAACTCTGTAAAATAGCTACCCCGTGCACTTCCAGGGCATTTTTTACCCATTTAGTTCTGGTGAAGTCCTTGCCCAGAACAAATGTGGATAACAGTGGAGCACAATTGTCAATTGTGTAGTTAATTCCATAAATTAAGCAGAGCACAGAAATGCAGTCTAGTTCTACTTTCCATAATGTCATGAAACCAATAACTCCAAACTCTACGGACACAACCGTTAGAGTAAGCCAGACATTGATCAGAGAATCCGCCACCAGGAATGCCGAGAAGAAGAGCAGGAACAAAGCACTGATGCAGGAGTTGTGCAGGGGGGCTCCCAGAGAGGAGGCGTATCGGTCCATGTACACGAAGGATGGGTTGAAGACAATGAACTTCACCTTGGAGGTGACAGAAAGTCTCCTCAGGGTCTCCAGGAGATCATAGAGTTCTTCTCTGTTCGTTTCCATGGTCTTGGCCACCAAAAACATTCTGGAGGCCACTACATCGACCTCATCATTGTACTTTTTAGAGAAGATGATGTCCTCTTGAAAATGCGAAAATTGGGGGGCTTTCAGGAAGGAATTCCTCAACATGTCTGTGAAATTTTTCTTAGGCAAGCCAGTGGACACATTGAGTTTCCGAAGGTAATTTAAATAGCTCTCAAACCAGGATATCCGCACAAACCCCTTGGTGTATTCTAGCACGTCTTCTTGGACACTAGTGTTCCAGTATTCTATGGACTCATAGATATAAAACCCAATCACCGGACTATAGTTGCTAAAGTACTTTTGCTGGGCAGTAGTGTACTCAATAGTTTGTGTCGCTGTCGCTACGATGTTACTAAGGTCTGACCCTTCACTGACCTGCAGATAGCCCATTAAGGCAAAGGAAATATAAATAAGGTAAAAGAGAACTACAAAAGGCTTGACATAGGTGTTGGTTATCCAGTCACAGTAATAGCGTTTGAGGAAACATACCAATAGGTGACTCTCGTAAGTGTTCGCCTCCTCCCCGTCGGTGGTGTCCTCGCTGAACCTGGCCGTCAGGAGAAACCTGTACCATGCCGGCTTCTCCTGCAATGCCTCGGGCTTTGGGACTTTTCTACAGAAGATACTATGCTGGTAATTGTTTTCTATGTAGCCAGTGAATACCAGGCTGGAACCATAAAACGAGAGTACATAGAGGTAGTTGAAGAAGATTGCAATACAGGAATTGCAGCAGAAAATCCTGGCTGCCTCAATGTTCGTGAAAGGGCTGGCCCCTATGCCAAAGGTGACCAGGTACATGGCAGTGGTGAGAGAAAAGGAGAGCATGGAGTCTGCATAGACTGCTGCAGTTCTCTCTTTAACATGTTGGTCTTCTCTAGTTTTCCTCCAGGAGGATAACATTTCAAAAGTCCCATATAATCCATGACCTGAGGGGGCAGAAAAAGACCAAATCAAACGTTTAAAAGACTAATCTCTTTAAAGAGAGAAATCACCTTGGTCATGGGAAACTTACTGGGTCAAGGGAAATATAAGCAGCCCTAGTGGTGACAGGTGACAGGTAAATGCCAATGATGTCTCCTGTGGAGAGAGAAGCCCGTGTTTGGGTGAATTATAAATGTAAATGGATAGCGAAAGGGCAGCTAGAGGAGCTGAGATCTTCACGCTCCCTTCTGGCTTAAGCAAGCTGGGTGGACTTTTGCCTATAGAAAGCCGAGTAGACGTGTGCCTGTGTCTCTTGGGATTTATAGACATCGATAGGTTAGGGTTGTTGGTGCAGTTTGCAGAGGATCTGTTTCCCTTGGTTGGTGGAACAGTTCAGAGAACACGTCTGGCCACTCATCATTTTGCTTATCATCCCCACGTGTCTGGCTGGAGGTCAGCACAGAGGAAGGCAGTGGACAGAGGGTTCTGAGTTACGTCTCAGCACCTCATTTAAGTCTGGTCAAGTGGAGGGCTTTGGGGAGAAAGAGGCACTGTATTTAATTTGAGCCTTGACAGGAGCCTAAATCACAGCCTCTTTGTTTTTCTTCCTTAAGTATCAGTGCAGGAAGCAATAAATCTGAGAAACAGACGGAAGCAAAATAAGTAGGAACAAGTTAGAGTGAACAGGAAAAATCAAAGAAGGAACAAGATTCAGATGAACTCTCCCTGCAATTGATAAAAATTCAAATTCAGGTTGAAGGTTTATGGCTTGTGTTTTGTCTTCAGGGATCTGTTTGACCAATTTTGGCTGTTCATAGATGATGTAGCAAGCAGGCGGTGCCTCTGCTGGCTTCTCTGCACTATTTGGCAATGGCCTCTGAGGGAGAGAGCCAGATCAGTAACCTCTTTCCTTAACTACTTAATGTCTTTGCCTCCTGGGTTAGTATTCCGGTAACACTGGAATAGCAGAGGTACAGGAAATTTTTTGACTCCCTTCTGCTGCCTGAGACCAGATCTAGCGTGACTTCTCTCACCTCCCCTGGCTGGAGCCAGACACTTCCCCGATGGGCCTCCCTCCCTGGGTTTCCAGGCCATTGCAACATTGAAAAGCCCACCAAACTGACCCACTGTGGCTTTCAATAACCCCTGCCTTGGCTCTGGGATCAGCAGATCTAATTTTCTGCTTCTATGCCTTGGCATAGTCAGTCCCATTATTGAGGATAATAAAATCTTTACCCTGTGGTACAGTAGTCTTGTTTTTAAAAAGGAATTTAAAATCTCCAGCCAAGCATAATGCTGAGTGAAGTGAGTCACTGTTATCCTGTGTATACAATAACTGAGCCTGCATCTTCCCTTGTGTCCAGGCTGGTATTTATATCCTTATTGTGAAATCTTGGCCTCAAACCTGAATGCCCATTTTATAGTTATTATATAGGCCTGTTTCCTCAGAGGGATTTGGCATTTGTCTTAATTTACTAGGTATCGTTTTACAGCCACTTTCAGAGGTCAGGTCAAGACTGTCAATTTGATAACTAGCACCGTGGCCCCTATTAAATTGGAGGCACCTAAACGCCTCAGATATGAAGTAAAAGGTACACTTGCTGACGGGCATCCTGTTGTTAATTATGTTTTAGATAGTTACTGTCTAGTCTCAGGAGGGAAAACCATTAAATCTCTTTACACTGTGTTTTCAGGAAGGACCAACCGATCTTTCCTTAAAAGTAACCAATCCCTTGACAATGAGGGTAAGAGGGGGATTGATATCTCTGAGGCGCCTGTACCCTGGGGAAACAATATTGACCATTTATTTCATCTGGAACCACATAGAATAAGTTCTGATGTGCAAAATACAATTTAGGGTTTCACTGAAAATGGCAAATGGAATTTTATTTTTACAGTATTTACTTGTTAGAAACAACAGTTTTAAAACAGGGTTTTAGTACTGACTCATTAAATATGAGAAGAAAATAAGGATGTGTATAGCAAGATTAGAATTAGTCATATAGTAGAATTTAAAATAAATCTCTTTTGCTGCCCTCTTTTTAAATCAGTGTAATGTTTTACATGATCTGACCCTGACTCTAGTTCGAAAACGCAGTAAGAATCCATTTCTTACCTTGCTGTTGAATAACCTTAGGAGCTAATTGAGAAAAGGAATTTGAATTAACAGAGCTATTAGGTGAAAAGAGTGAGGCTTGAGGGTCCAGAATGAAAATAATCAAACTCAAGGAAAGGTGGAAGTAGGCTGTTTACTTGTCTCTTGAGTTCTGTTGCTGCGTTTTAAATGCCTTGTCCTATAGTTTGATTATTTTGATTGAGTCCTGGCTGTTTCCACATATGCTGTTCGTTTTGGGGGCGGTTCCAGGGAGAATCCTGATTTTATTCTTGGGGGCTTTTGGAAACTATGCCTTTCCTTCGTCTTGTTACAGGGGTGTGTGTGCAGCACTCACAGAGGCCAGAAGAGAAGATGGCCCCGAGGGAAAATCTGTTCTACTCATCACTTAACATTTGTTACTAGCCCTCATTGGCCTTGCCTCCAAAGCCCCTCCCCCAATTCCTGATAGGCCAGGACTGTTTGTCAAGCCACACCTCAATAACAGATGCCTACCCTAAATCCCAAATTGGAGTTGTGTAGTGTCTTCAAAGAGCTCTGGGTTTCAGGGACAACTGCTTACACCATAACTGGGTCTCCTTCGTGAAGCTCAGTTTATCAAGGGAGGGATGACTGCCAACTGGGTGCCTCCCAGGGATTAACAGCCTGGAGTGCCTAGCTGGCACTAGAACTGATTCACTGCAGGGTGTTTATGTTGAAGAGGTCAGTCTCTTACCCTAAAGGAAGGCTAAACTGGAGGGCCCCTGTTTCCTGGTTTGGACTCAAGAGCCTTAGGACATGAGGAATGCCCTGCACCTCGGGATGCCTTCCCTGTCCATTATTATGGGTGAATTCCCTTTGGATTTGGCCTTCAAGGGTATCCTTTTACATGCAAAGCCCTCTGGGACACATCTTCTGAAGCAGCTTCCCTTAGGTCTGGGGCATGGCACAGACACTAGAGATGAGGAGGCAATGAGGAAGGAATCATAGATAGGTGGATTTCACAGTGACAAACTTTCACAATTTTTCCTCTAGCCAGTCCGGACCTTGTCTTTTATATCCACTTCAGAAAGTGGGCCAGTGGAAATCAAGGAAAGGCAGGGAAGAAAGATTTAGGTAGGTTCTGTTCCTCTCCACTTTCCTTTCTCAGCAGTTGCTTCCTTTCTTTAGCATCACATCATCCATCACTCCTTTACCTCTGGGGCTGAGAGACCCAGCAAGGAGGACTCTGAGGGCATATCTTACAGATGTAGGCAGATACTGCATGTGGCCTGAAGATACTTGTCAGAGGTTTGGCTATGGTTTCCCCCATGTTTAAAAGGTGTTTTAAAAGCAAAAGAATTGCCGTTTGTTTTGCATTCCAGTTATTAAGTTTTCTCTATGAAGGCAGAGCTCTATAAGCTTCCCTATGAAATCTGACCAAAAGGCCTATGGCATTGGCACAAAGCATCATTTCGGCAAGGGACCATTTTCCATCTGCATTATTGTAAGCCTGTTCACAAGGACTCCCTGGTAGCTGCGCTCATGCGGGAAGCTACCTAAACTGGAAGTTCCAAACAGATTTAACCCTTGGTGCCCAGAGACTCTGCGGTGCTAATGGGAGCCAGGGCTCATCATCAGGGGGGCAGGTCCACAGCTCATGACGTGGAAGTAAAAGACCGTATCATAGTGAGCATGCCAGGAACTGACCGGCATCCCCGGCTGTTCCCTCTCTTACAGTCACAGTATTTAAGGCTGAATAGTTGCCAAAGGGAACCATTAAACAACACAGACTGATTCTATCAAATTCTGGAGATAAAGAAGCTTTTAAAATATTCACTTGTCTGTTAAAAGCACAGCCAAGATGTTTGTTTCTATTTTGATTCATTGCATGCCTGTATAGTTACATGCATATCAGTATGTGTCAAGACACACACACAGGTCCAAGTTCTAATTATTCATGAGTGAATGCTTTGAGGCAATGCGGGCTTTTATCCAGGTCCTGGGATAAGGACCGTAGAGCTCTTCACCAATGTTCAGACACAGATTGTACCAGGAGTGCAATTTCAATTTTATTAGCAGTAGACTTCGGGACCGTCATCCAGTAAAATCAAATACAAAAGGATTTAGGCTAGTAATTTTTCTTCTTTCCCAAAGACTTTTACATCTTTATGTGCAGTTAACTTTCAGACTTTGGAGCCCATGAAGAGAAAAAGCAGCCCAGATGATAAATAACACTCATGGTGGAAAAGTTTCCACCGGTCAGTCCTCCAGTCATTTAGGGTGAGTCTCAGGAACACTCAGAGATTACATCTCACTTTCACCCAGGCCCTTTTCTGGGGCCTGACCAAAGCCTCCAGGGTTGTTTATAATCCACTAACGTAGGAATCCACTAACAAATAGTTGAGAATTAACCTAACTTTACCCCATAGATGGACTTCTGGAAAGTTGTTCATAAAGTGAATCATATTTTAAATGTATTTAATGGTTTTACTATCAGAGGCAGTCTGGGTGATTTGTTGATTTTTTTGGTCAATGAACAATCACAGGCAAATTGATCTACTTTGTACATCTGGATTTTGTAAGGCAGATTTTTCTTCAGTCCCAGATTCTCCCGTCTTCCTCAGCACACGCAGCCACAGCTCAGAGGCTGATGTGTTGGGGCGCTCCTCACATTTTAATCCTTCCTACTAGCAGGATTTCCTCATCCTGTGTTCCTAAAAGTAAGGAATAGGGATGGTTTGCTGATGGATGATCTTTCAGTTTCAATGAGAAAACATTTAATATCAGGAGACAGTGAAGCTTGGGCAGTGCCAAATGTCATATATGGAAGTAAAATGAAAACGTTCTTCTAGAAAATTCATAGAGTATAATGAATGCATGAGCAAAACCTGCTTAAAACACATTTTATTCTTGGATGAGCTTTACTAGGTA